ATCAAAACAAAGTGCATTATTTTGTTATCTCAATTGTTTTAGCCAAGAACTGGTAAAGTATTGTCAGAAATTGGACGAACACAGTAAGGGGTTTTTCCTGGAAGGACATTTAACTACTTCCATAGTTGTGAATTACTTTAAACACACACTTGTATTATTCACAATTCATGTTGAGCTACAATGTTAGAGCTACCAGCCACACTAATTAATGCCCTAAAATGAGGAAAAATCACACAGAAAAATAAATATGGTAATTATTCTACAGGTAGCTAGGTTGTGCAAAAGAAATACCCTGTAGCTGTGCTTGTTAAAGAAAACCACATGCATCAGTATGTGACGTATAGAAGTGACATCTGTCAACAGTTAAACTGTTTTAAACAGGTCTGCGTGTCATTAACATAACTCAATGATCTCTTGCTGTGTGCTTTTCTGTGCAATACTCACCTACGGGAATAACGTCATGGCCTGCCTGCCCCTCCATCTCCTCTGTCTCCATCTCGGCTTCATCAAACATGGACAATTCCTCTTCAAACGTCGATGGACTGTCTTCCCATTCACCAGTTGTTTTGCCCCGTTTGGCCTGGGACGCAGCCCCTTTATAAGGGCCACCATTGCGTCTTTTATGGTCCATGCCTTTAAGAAAACTTTGGGGGCAGAAAGCATGTTAGGGGAGATGCAGAGAAGAAGAAATACAATTCTTAACTCAGTTAAGCAGTCACTATTGAATAAACTGGATGCATAATGTAGCCCACTAGCAGCCATGTACCTTCCTAACTTCACACAACACAATAGTCACAGTTTCAGATAGGTGCACTGTTGATAACTGATGCACGTGTTAAAGCGGTTATTTCATATTCAACATCTAACGTTAGCTGTCAGACACGGTAACCTCGGTATTGCAGCGGTAACGTTCATGTCGAGTTATTTTCAGGGAGTGTGTTTTCCTTTGTAACAAACTAAAACATCAAGCTAGCAAGCGCAGTGTAAACACAGCGCAGTCTCGCGCCAAATCTGATTTTACCAAAACACGGTACTAGTTAATCTCACCGTGAAACTTGTCCAGACACCCGAGGATCAACGGATTAAGACCAACGGCTGGTGCGTTTCTAGCGAAGCTGTAAATACCTGTCGAAGTTACTTCTTGACAACAGATCCCGCCACTCTTCTTTCAATTTGTGAACTTTCACCCACGAAAGCGCGGAAAATTTCCCCCGGTATACTAGGCCCAAGCCCAACCGTCAAGGAACGGACAACGACGTCACTGACAAGGCGGAGACTCAGCGGTAACGATGAGGAAGTTGAACGCGGCTCGTCTTTACCCAGTAGATGCGGAAGACCGTGTGTTTTTCCCGGGAAATGACGCAACAACGTACGCTACGCAGCAGCGAGGGAGGGAGAACGGCAGATTTGGGGAAAATCTTTGAATTTGATTTAATTTGTGTAAAGATTACAATACGACTGTACAATAAATCACCTCTGGCCAAATCATTCATATAACACCGCTACACTGTTGTTTGTTTGTTGTTTGGTTAAATCTTTGCACAACTGTTTAGTTAGTTTATTTAATATTATTTATTATTTCCTTGTATATATTGTGCATTTTTTTATATTTAATATTATTTACTCTGTTACTTTGATTGCTTACCTGTATCATAATGCTGCTGTAGTGAACAAATTTCCCCTTACAGGATTAATAAAGTATCTATCTATCTACTTCATCAAATAATAACAATTTACACAACCTAAACGCCGTTTTTTTCATATTTTGTATTGTATTTAAAGCATGGACATATACACTAAAAATAAAGAGGCAATTGCTTAACAAACAATGTATGTTTTAGGTCTGCCTCATACACTATATTAGAAGGGTCTGCCTTCATTACTTCCTTATGATGTTTTATTATTGATAGTGTGATCATTATAATCCCCTGTACTTCTGATGTGCTCAGCGTTTCTCTTGCCCTCTTATATTAATTATTTGTGAAGTAATAGTCATTATTATATGGGTTTAGATTTTAATGATAATGCATGTATAGGGAAGGCAACAGAGTTTTGTTTTTCACATATATGAAGGCAGGCAATATCGTTGTCTTTGGTCAGATAAAACAAGATGCCATGACTTTGCACTCTATACATTTTTCACTATATTTTCAGGTGTTTTATCACAGATTAAGAAAATCAGTCTTTTGTAGCTAACCTATATGATTTAGTGTCATGGTTATTTACTTTAAACTCAACTAAAAATGGTAAATCCCCCAAAAATAGTAAGCTGGGCTTTATAAATAAAAACACAGGACCCTTGTGTGCATATCCCTGAAAGATGCTGGGGCTTTCCGTCACGCCCTCCAGACACAGATAAGCACACACAGTCAGAGGTCACAAGTCAACATCTCTGAAGCTGGCAGGAGGGTAGTTCCATGCTCAGTGACGCCTCAGCCGTGCAGATCTTTGCTGAAATCAGGAGTCTCAGTTAATTACTCTTATCTCCCAAGGAAATTCTTGCATGTTATCGCAATAGCTGTGTATATCCTCCCCCCCCCCCCCCCCCCTGCTAACGCTGAGGATGTGACGTCATCCACTCAGCGAAAAGCAGGTTGCAGACACAACACTCAAATGCACTCCTTCTTATCTTTGGTGATTTGAATCATGCGACTCCATCCTCCACTCTGCCCACATTCACCCAATATGTTACATGCCACACCAGAGACAAAAAAACACTGGATCTATTTTATGCCAACACTAAGGAAGCATACACCTCATCACCTCTCTCTCCGGTGGGAAGATCTGATCACAACCTGGTGCACCTCCTGCCTGTGTACAAACCTCTCGTGCACAGACAGCCAGCAGTCACTCGCAGAGTCAAAAGATGGCCCAAGGAGGCGGATGAGGCTCTGAAGGGCTGTTCTCACTCAACCATGTGGGACGTTTTCAGTGATGCCGACAGTCTCACACATTGTATAACAGACTATATTAACTTCTGTATGGAGAATACCATACCCACCTGGACTGTTTTCCAACAGCAAACCCTGGATTACTCCTGAGATAAAGGCCCTCCTCAAGGAAAGAAGAGGGCATGTAGGTCAGGTAACAAGGGGGAGCTGAAGACTGTGCAGAGGGAGCTGAGGAGGTAGATCAGGAAAGACAAAACAGATAAGAGGAAAATGGAGGATCATTGTTCCTTGTGTCTGGCCACAAGGAACCCAACTCTCAGCCTGTGGGGGACCAAAAGTGGGTGAATGATCTGAACTCATTCTTCAACAGATTTGATCAGTTATCCTCCCTTCCCCCTATCCAGTCCACCCTGCTGCAGCAACCCCCTTTCTCTGCACCCCCTGTATATTGCCCTTCCCCCACCCTTTCCCACAACATTCAGCTCCCCTCCACCCTCCACATACACTGCTCTTCTTGTTCAATGCCCCCCCCCCCCACCAACAACCTCCAGCACACAGCCCCTCACAATAAACAAGATGAGGAAAGAACAGAGAAAGATCAATGCCAGAAAGGCCGCGGGTTTGGATGGCATCAGCTCAAGGCTTCTCAAGTCCTGCGCAGACCAGCTTTGTGGGATAGTGGAGCACATCTTCAACCTGAGCCTGAAGCTGGAGAGAGTGCCACAACTGTGGAAAACATTCTACGTGGTACCGGTGCCAAATACATTGCACCTCAAGGACCTCAACAGCTACAGGCCAGTGGCACTGACATCGCACGTGCTGAAAACCCTGGAGAAGCTGGTCCTTGTCCATCTCCGCCCTCTGGTGAGCCTGGTACAAGTACCTGCTGTTCACCTGAACAATAAACTGGACTGGACTGACAACATGAATGCTCTATACAAAAAGGGACAGAGCAGACTCTATCTGCTGAGGAGACTCAGGTCTTCTGGAGTGCAGAGAGCATTCCTAAGGACCTTTTTTGACTCTGTGGTGGCATCAGCTATCTTTTAATGGCGTGGTCTGCTGAGGCAGCAGCATCTCGACGGCTGACAGGAAGAGACTGAACAGACTGGTAAAGAAGACCAGCTGTGTCCTGGGACACCTACTAGATCCGGTGGAAGTGGTGGGAGAGAGGAGAATGATGGTTAAGCTTATCATCCCTGATGGACAACACCTTCCACCCCATGCAGGACACTCTTACAACACTGTGCAGCTCCTTCAGTGACTGGCTGCTTCACCTGCGGTGTGTGAAGGAGAGATACCGCAGGTCCTTCCTTCCTGCCGCTGTCAGACTGCACAACCACTGCTCCCAATACACCACACATACCAAAAACTGACAATTCCTCATTAATTTATTCATTCATGTGCAATATAAATAATCTGTTCAATCCACTGTGCAATATTAACCATTCAGTTGGACTATATAATATTGTAGTTATTGTTGTTTTCATACATTTTTTACTTATTTATTATACCTTTACTGTGTGATTTTCAATGTATTATACTTGTTTTGATCTTGTTTGTCTGTTTGCACTATCCACTATGCTGTTATCCTGTAAATGTCCCCGCTGTGGGACTAATAAAGGATTATTTTATCTTATCTTAACAACAGGTTCAGCAAATTTACCAATACATACCATGTGTTCAGGCTATTTAGGGATAGAAGGTTGTGGGGGGTTAGACAGATGGCCGCTGGTGGAAAGGGTCAGTAGTACATCACAGAGATTTGTAGAGGGGTTAGGTTTCTTAATGTCACTGATCACGTTGTGTTCTCAAAACTCTCACCCTTAAAATACATTATAAATAACTCTCTCCCTCCTCATTGGAAAAAAAAGATAAAGTTACCCGGTTTCCTATGACTCCCCTCTTTTGTATGGATGAAAAGATAATTGACCAACCACTGCAACACCCTTCAACTTCCGCTGAGCCAATTGCGTCCTTCAGCCGAAGCAAACGCCCAATTCCCGTCACTGGTGTGCAGGGGCGGAGATACAGCGGAGACTGAGGCCAGTCGGAATGAAGCTCATGAATAATGTGGTAGTAGAGACCCCGCATTCACCAACCCAACCTTCTTCCTGCATCCGAGCCCAGGCCCTCATCTGACAGCAAGCGCACCAGACCAATGTGAATCGCTGTCATTAGAAAACCCGCCCCCTGTTCCTCACTCTCAGATGGTTACATTTTTGCTGGATTGACCGCGACAGCTGCCAATGTCTTGCTCATCTTCGTGAAGTAGGGACAAAATCGAAGGGTGAGTAGAAATCTGCCTTTTTTTTATTTTCCAAAATGATCATATTGTAATACTTCCTCATCAGACGGGGACGCGCATCGGGACGCTGTGTCCTTTGCGCGTGTCGGCAGCAGCAGTAGGTGCTTGATGTCACGTAGACGATACATACACCAGCATGCATATTGAGCCAGGAGGTTTGCTGTTGGTTTGATGGTTCTGTTGTCGCCTGTAATCTTTGGACGAGCAGTCGCTGTCCGAAGCTGACGTGCAGTGCGTCCTCCATTGACTCATTTGGGTCTTGTCCTCTGCCAGACTTGAAGGCCCAGTGGGCCGTTCAAACCAAAATGTTAGTAAAGGTTATGACATTGTAAAGGGCAAGATGGTGCAAATTGTTACTGCATGTCCACGTGAGTGTCTGTAGTTAATTATATAGCATCCATAAAGTGGTGTACCAAACAGGTGAGGGTACCCCTCAATTGAGAGCTCCAGGGGATCCCAGGGGGGCCCAAAGAAATGAGCAGCAATTTCACTTAACCACTGTGGTATTTACTCTCTTTAACAGGATGATTGTTTGTTTCTCTACCTATATCACACCAAACTATAAAACGCCTCTCAAAAATGAGTTTGGCTTGTTTTTACTTCCCTTAAATGTCTCTTCAGAATAATGTGCTACTTTGACATTTGAAATTAAAAATATTTGCATGTTCATATAGATTCTAGGTAATGTAGTTCAACATGGGAGTTCAACATGCATTCTTAAACATGTCTGAAGGGAGTCTTCAACTTCTATTTAAGCTGGTCTGGTGTGCATAGCTGAGGTAAAAGTTTATTTTAGAAGATATTTTTTTTTATCAGTTTGAACGGCACATACTAATCATATCAGTGTTCTGGTTTATCTGGGCCTTTATCAGGCTTGGACAGTGATGGACTGTTTTACACCAAACTCCCTTTGGTCCACTGCTATCAGCTCATCACAATCACTTAACAAGTTGAGTTCAGCTCGTCGGTAGTAGGGCCTATACTTGGATTGAATTTCTGGTCAGCAGTGTAAAACACAAAGTTGTGGACAGGATTGTGAGGTGGAAGTCTGTGTGTAACCCAGTGTTTGTGCACTGGTTAGTTTCTGTAGTTTTACACACGTCTTAACAAAATTTCAACATTTCATAGTAGCATATCAACAAGTGATCCGTGCCCTTGTCTGTGCCTTCCTGCCTCCTTTCCCATGACACTCCCCCAATTGTTCAAGAAGTTGCAGCATTTTTGCAAGCAGGAACGTAGCACAAAGTTGTATATTCAGTGGATCTTACACTCAGTCAGCAGGAATGCACTCCTCCACCTGTCTCTAGCACTAATAGGAAGCTGGATAATTAAACTTCTTTTGCTGCAGTAGGATGCAGTTACGGTCTTTATAGTGCATATCTGGTGTATTACATCGGTTAAGATACAAATTTCACAGAACAAACTTGCAATTTTTGTGTAGAGATGGATGTGATACGCATGACTACAGGTGTGTATGTTATGTTGTTAAAAGCAGCAGTAGTAGGAAGAAGAAGCGCTTTGACCATCTCAGATTATAGACCGAGCAAATACTGTTGATGCACAATCGCTCACAAACGTACACACGTCTACGTAAATATCTATCAATCAATGTACAACTTCAGTGTTGTGTGTTTGCACAGGGTTTCCTATAATACAGCCAAAGGTTAGGCTTATTAGGTCACCAGGAAATTAAAATGTTTGAAACAGTATTTTGAAGAAATCAAATCTTTTAGTATAAATTCAATCATCTCACCAGAGAGGATTGTTATAATGGTAAAATAATTGAGAATGGCTGTGTTCACACCACAGAGCTAGAATGTAATGGTTTTGTGAAATGGGATGTGGGGTTTGTTGATGACATACTTGCAAAATGTTACGCTGTTTAAAAAATGTGTCATTTACACTTCAGGTTTACCTGATGCTATTACTTTGCATTGATACATTAGAAAAAAATAGAATCCTTCAGTTTCTTTAATGCCAAGCAATTGGTTTAAAGTCAGAGTGTCATTGCATATGTAAACATGTTTTTGTATCCCAAAGTTAATGTTTTAAAATATAAGCTGCTAAATTTCTTTGGAAAGAAATAAAAACAAAGAACAGGTTTTGATGTAAAAGCCTTGTTCAATGTGTGAATTACTCACACATCACAATACTTATTGGTAAATAAGTGACAAGTGTGACATGTACGGTGTATACACAGTTGGAAGGTGCTCCCTTCTCAGCTGAGTGTGTTCTATGTTTACCCAGCATGCCGCTGGCTCGCAGCCTCTCCGTCACGTCCCTGTCGGGACTGGAGGAGTGGGATGAGGAGTTTGATTTAGAGGACGCTGTTCTTTTTGAAATTGCATGGGAGGTCGCCAACAAAGGCAAGTGTGTGTGTGTGTGTGTTGTGTGTGCGTGAGTTTGGTCCTTGCTTGAGTGCATTTGTGTCTGCACTTACTTTTTAAAGTTTGGGAAAATAAATGGTTTCCATATGTAAATACTTAATGAAAATACATGTTGAATGCACTTTGTAAGTCACTTTGGATAAAAGTGTCCGCTTAATAAATGTAATGTAATGAAAACAGGACAAAACTACATTCGTACATTCCATGTATATGTCTGATCTTGATCATTCACACAGGTTATAACCTTCAGATAAATTGTAGTTGTTAGAGAGACTTGGCAACATAATGCTTCATATATTTCAGGTTGAATCATATTGTATATCTTTGTCTCTACTTTGTGTTCATACGTGTGGCATGTTTGCTGCATGTGTGAAGTTGGAGGCATCTACACCGTCATCCAGACCAAAGCCCGTCTGACCGCAGAGGAATGGGGGGAGAACTATTTCCTGGTGGGCCCTTACGTGGAGAGCAACGTACGCACTCAGGTGGAGCTGATCGAGCCCACCAACCCCGTGCTGAAGAGAACCATTGACAAGATGAACGCCAGTGGGTGTAAGGTACTACCACACGCACACAGTAAACACATAGATGCCTCAGAGTTAAATTTGTATGTTCCACTCAAGGACAGTCATTACTACAAATAGTTGGAGGGTTTACAGAGGGAGATTTGCAAATGTGTGGTGAATGTGAACTACACTTACAAACCCAGTTAGAGATCATCCCCTCTTTCATACTCTGCCTTGACCACGTCTCTAAACCCGGTGACATTTCCTCTCAAAGGTTAGAGGTTGTATCAGTGTCTCTCTGTCTCAAAAACATACTCCAGAAATAGGTGTGTGTGTGTGTGTGTGGGTGGGGGGGGCACGTACGTACGTGCGTGCGTGCGTGCGTGTGCGCATGGTCACTCTGGGAGTGCAGTGGAGATATGGGTCAAGTGGTGCTTTTTTTTTTTTTTTTTTTAAAGGGATAGTGCAGCCTTTTCAACGAAGCCTATCTAGTTTACCTTGAACCCCACCACCTTTAAGCTCACGACAGACCAGCATCAGAGCACAATTAATTGTATGGAAATGTGTTGTTTTTTTTTAGTTTTTTTTTTTTAATGTATATATATATATATATGTATATGTAGGTAGGTCGGTCCTGTATTCCAGTTTAGTCATATTTTGAGCTTGAAGTGACTTACTTTTTTTGCACTTCTGTGTCAGCTAGACAAATTTCATCAAGGTAATCTTGGATTGTGTGGTTAGACTATGTTTTAAATCCAGTTTTAGTAGGCTGAGTGTCCTGCAAGTAAAGTACTTTTTGATTAGAAACGGAAGGATTAGAACCATTTATCTACATAAACGTTGTAAATAGCAAAACATTAATGCAAAAAAAAACAACATAGGAGTTGTTGCTGCAGCAGCGGCAACTCTTAATACCAAAGTGAATGTGTTTTCTAAGGTGCGAGTGGTTTATATTATTTTGGTTGGTGTGGCATGAAGAATTAAAGTAAAATTTTCTCCATTTCCCTGCAGGTCTACTTTGGGCGCTGGCTTATTGAGGGCAGTCCCTATGTTGTGCTGATTGATGTTGCGTTTACCGCCTGGTCTCTTGACAGCTGGAAAAGGGAATTATGGGACCTTTGTGACATCGGCGTGCCATGGTTTGACCGTGAAGCCAACGATGCCGTGCTGTTTGGCTTCCTGACTGCCTGGCTGCTGGGAGAGGTCAGCAGCAAGAGAACTTAAAGTGACAAGAATTTCAATAAAAATGCAATGTTAAATTAGTTTTAGTCGAAAGGAGAAATTGAATACTGTGCAGAAAGAAGACGGATTGGGCTGTTGTTCCTTGAAAAGTGTAAATGCTTGAAATGTCAAAACCTGGGAAGGCACATGAAATATAAGTTGTGTTTTGATTCATATTGGTGTGTATGTGTGTAGTCCATATTAACACTGTTCTCTCCCACGTTGCAGTTTGCGGCCCAGAGTGAGGAGCCTCCACACATCGTGGCCCATTTCCATGAGTGGTTGGCCGGCTTGGGCTTAGTGTTGTGTAGACATAGAAAGCTGCCCATCGCAACCATCTTCACCACTCATGCCACACTGCTGGGACGATACCTGTGTGCTGGAAGTGTGGACTTCTATAACAAACTTGCTGAGGTGCGTGTCTGCACTGTGTACCTGTGTACATTTTAATTATGCAGCACTGTAATAAAGCAAAAACAAAATAATAGAAAGAGGCCATTTAACTGTCGAGCTGACTTTGATTCATATGTAGGTAAATTAGAAATGAATACAAAATCGGACAGATATTCAACAAGAAATGTACACTTCATCGCACTCTCCCTCTCCTGTTTGTGTCCCATCCAGTTCAACGTGGATAAGGAAGCAGGCGATAGACAGATTTACCACCGCTACTGTTTGGAGCGGGCGGCCGCTCACTGTGCTCATGTCTTCACCACTGTGTCACAGATCACAGCCATTGAGGCAGAGTACCTGCTCAAGAGGTCACCAGGTGTGTGGAGGTGATTTGATGTGTCAAATACAGAAACTTCCTAACGTCATTTGTCACTGGCCAGACACAGCAGGCCTTGACTGTGCGAGGATATGATGTATTTCTCACTGCTTTCCTAGTGAATGTTTCAATGCATTAAACTTTGAATTCACCAAGTTAGCTACCTAGCTATTTAGATACTTAACTGTTTCTCTGTGTCTTTGTTTTGCATTTAATGCCCTTTACCTCTCCCATCACAAACAGACATTATCACTCCCAATGGGCTCAACGTGAAGAAGTTCTCAGCAGTACACGAGTTTCAAAACCTCCACGCTCAGAGCAAGAATCGGATTCAGGAGTTTGTCAGGGGACACTTCTACGGGTCAGACACGCATCACTCAACATTCACAGCTCAGTCAAAACCGTTATTCCAGTGAAAAACTATACTACCAGAATGTGCTGATTGTAAGCGCTACACTCATCCAGCTCTTGTGACAGATTTTGGTTTGTGTTTGACCACCAGGCACCTTGACTTCAACCTGGACAAGTCTTTGTTCCTGTTTATTGCTGGAAGGTATGAGTTCTCCAACAAAGGGGCCGACATCTTCTTAGAAGCTTTAGCCAGACTCAACTATCTACTGAGGGTAAGTGTGTAGTTGTGTCCACACATTTGGGTGTGTGTGTGTGTGGGAAGGAAGAAGGTGAATCTTAGGTGTAAAAATTTGACCCCATATTCCTGTATGGTCTGACTGTTGCAGGTCAATCACAGTGACGTGACCGTCATTGCGTTCTTCATCATGCCAGCTCGGACAAACAACTTCAATGTGGAGACCTTGAAGGGCCAAGCAGTCAGGAAACAGCTCTGGTGAAGTTTCTTCTTATGTTAACCAATATGAAACGAGATAAGGCCAGACAGCCAAATTGCTACACTCATCCACTTGGAAAAGTGTTTTGAAGTTGTCTAATTCCACTTTCCTTGTTTTTTTTTTCCCTGACAGGGACACTGCTCAGACTGTGAAGGAACGTTTCGGAAAGAAACTTTATGATTCACTTCTAGTGTAAGTTTGCCACTTTCAGTAAAATGTGGAATGACCTGTTTTATAACGCCATCAAATATAAAGTAAGAAACAGCCCACCTCATAACAGACATTTATTAATAAATGTAATCAAGGATTTTTCCAA